CCTCCCAAAGTATACAGATGGTGACCACGCTAAGAACACAAGCCAGACCAGTAGAAAGTAGAATCATGATCAATGATTCTGTTGTATTACAAGTCATTACCATGAGGTACAGTGGAACAAAAACCTTAGCCCAGGCACCAAAGCTGACGAACATTAAACCAGCAAATACTGGCTGCAAGTAAGGTACAACATGCTGAAACTCTGAGACCAAGCTCAACAACTCTGAGAGCAAACAAATCAACATTGTGACGAGTGACTATTAATCCAAAACAATGAATGTTTATCACAAATATGATTAGACACACTCTGATCAGATCTGTCATTATCTCAACCCTTCGAGCCCCACAGGGGGTGCCAAAAAGAACTGTTGTGGCTTAAGCCCAGCCGGTTACTCAGAACCACACAGCTGCTTGCTCACTTCCCCTCTTCTTCCCCGCCCCCACTCCTGGAGGGATGAAGAGGAGAATAGAAAGAATGTAAATCCCACAGATTGAGATAAGAACAGTCCAGTAACTAAGGTATAATACAAAACCACTACTTCTACCACCAATAATAATAATGATAAGGGAAGTAACAAGGGGAGAGACAATATAAAACTAAAAGGGGAAAAGGAAAAGAAAACAATAAACACAAATGATGCACAATACAATCCTCACCACCCGACAACTGATACCCAGCCCGACCCAAGAAGCGATCCAGGCCTTCCGGATGACTCCCCCCAGTTTATATACTGGGTATGACGTGCTGTGGTCTGGATTATACCCGTTTGGCTAGTTTGGGTCAGGTGTCCTGTCTCTGCTTCCTCCCAGCTTCCTGTGCCCCTCCTCACTGGCAGAGCATGAGACTGAAAAGTCCTTGATCGAAGTAAGCATTATTTAGCAACAACTAAAAAAATCAGTATGTTATCAGCATTGTTTTCAGGCTGAAAGTCGAAAGCACTGCACCAGCTACTGAGAAGGAGAAGAATAACTGTACAGCCATACCCAGGACACCAAGCCTTTTTCTGCAGTACATTTCTGCGACATTCATAGCTCTCTTCACATCCTGATATCAAGATATCCTTTGGAAAAAAGTAAACTGTCTTTTTCGAAAGTAAGAAATTCAACCCAATCAAGGACTAAACCCATAAGCACCTAAAGGTCTTCAAAAAATGCTGCAAGTATTTATCAGTGAATATTTTTAATTTTCTACCAGATTTGCTCTGAATGTATATCTGCTTCTACCTCATGAGAAGAGAAAATAAAAATATAAATTAGGCTAGCTGCTTATGGCAAATGCATGTTCTAGAAGTTTTATATTCAAAATTATTTGGTTTTAGCAATTATTTACCGTAAAGAATTTTTCCCACCAATTATTCGCTTTTGTCGACGGTGTAGTAACCTCAATCCACAAACAGAAGCAAGAGAATCTAAACCAGAAGGGGAGACACAGACAGCATTAAACTCAAAAGGAAAAGTAGCCTGTCTTTAATGAGAGTTAACTAAAAAGCAACCACGAAGGCTGAAGTTATTCTGTGTTTCAGAGGAGTTTTTAAGAATCAAATTTTACGTGGGAAATATACACTGAATTCTCTGAGAATTTCTCTTAGATATTCTTTGTAGCTGAGTTGGTTTTTTTTACTGTGATCACATAGCAGTTTACACATTTGTGCTCTGCTTCTCAAGTGTAGGATTTTTTATAGAGTTCTTTACTTCACATCATACCACATAGGTCTCAGTCCTCGGCTGAAGATAACATGCAAAGTTTAAAGTAACTGCCTAGGTTTTTGCATTTTCATGTCCCACGTACAACTTAAGAAACATGGCTGCTGTAAACTATGGCAGACAAGTACCCTGTATCATTTGAATGGTCTTTATGATTCCTTTGTTCTGCTGGCACAGAGATAAGATCACAGAGTGTAAGCAGAGAGTACTTTTGTTTCTTTAATTCTTTTGATATAATTGTTTGGTCTGTGAGGTGGGATTGTTTACATCTGTCCCTTCCTACCATGACAAGTTTCCATCCTAACCTGTTCGTCAGCCACTCACAATGGGGCTTCACCTTTATTGCTGTTCCCTTGGGCCTTCTTGCTTAGGTGGTCACAGATCACTCCTGCGTCCTCACTGTGGCGGCAGTTGTGTGTCCCAATGTTTTCCTTAATGCAGTCTGCCAAGGATCTCTCATTTCCTGTACATTTCACATTATCCACATGGATTGGGCCTTTGCCTTCCCCAAAATATGCCATTGTCCTTGCTCTAGCCGGACCTCTGGAAATATATCATATTTTTTATTAAACATTTTGAGGCATTATTCTACATTTTACTCAACCGAAATATTTCAGTGAGTAGTGAAAGACATGGAAATTTTATTCCAAGTCCTGTCACTGATTCACTTGGTGATGACTTTTGTTCTCGTTGTCTCTGTTACTCTGGTATGTATAAGTGCAACAAAATTGCTGCAGTTCATTAATGTTTAAAAAGTGCTTTTATGTATCCAGTTAGAGGCACAATGCAAAGTATTTTCATTGTAACAGCATTACAAATATTTATAAACCAAAATATGTGAAAGCTGCTTTTTCATAATCTTTGTAATCTGCATATAAAATCAGCATCTGTGAATGCTAAACATCATTTCTTCTTTTCTGATTCCATCGGAAAGATGGGCCAGGTAAATACAGTATACTTGCAGTGTGGTAGGAGCTCTGATTTATAGAGTTGATAGTTACTAATATATTGTGTTCTAATGCCATTTTTTAAGTGCACCCCACAAGTGAGTTCTAAAACTGTAATGTGATTGGAGAAAGACTGAACCCAGTTCATTCTCAGCACACACTTTTTCCTGGGAGGAATCCAGTACTTAGTGCTTGTGTAGCATTTTTGTACACAGGCCTTAAGGCACTCTACCAAGAAGGTCAGTATATTAATCCTGTGCTTGTAAAAGGCTAAGTATCAAACCTAAGTATTTAAATGTCAGACTTAGGACATTTTATTAGGGTATGAAGTCCTGATCCATTTAACTTTTATGTAGTGCCCTGCAGCTTCAGCAATGACCACAGTGTCAGTTGTGTGAATGTCTTCTTTTGACTCATGAACTTTTTCCCCCGATTAAGGAGTGGATGAACAAACACAATAAAAAACCAACATGGATTGTGCATATAAACATCTCATTTGGTAACTTTTGTGATAATTAGTTAGGATAATGCTCCTTAATATATAAATGTTTTGTTGTATATGGTTTAAGAGCCAGAAAGAATTGAGTGGGAGACCACCCAACTGGCTATACAGAGAAGTGGGGAAGGAAGCCACAGCCACCTCTAGGTGTGTCTGAACTACCAAATTTACCTATCAGTTAAGAGCAATTTACTGTTATTTTATAGTGATAAAAATATACAGAATTCTAGATAACTGAAATGTTGCACTATAATCACAGGTTTCCATTTTAAAGGATAATTTACAATTGCATATTGTAAAGGACAGTAACTTCTCTGTATACAGAAGGGTATGTACATGAAATGCTGGAGTAGAGAAATAATTTAAGAATTAAAATGTTTTTAGGCAAGAAAATTTCTCTCCCTTTACACCCCTTTGTGTTGAGGAAGCTAGGTGAGGATGGCATAAAGAGTTTATGTCCCTTCATCAGCTAGGGATTCTCTGTTGGGGAGCAATTTTGATTTGTCATAACATTTTCAAAGCTTTGTCATACTAGAAGTGTGGCTGGATCAAACTCGAACAATCCAGCTGTCACCTGTCCATATCCATATAACTGAAAAACAAAAGTAATACCGACAAGCTTCCTCCTTTTTCAAACTTGCACGTGGAAAGCCTTGCCTGTTTGGATTTTTTTACTGCCTACTGGAGGTTAGGATGGCAGGTTTTCTAAGTGGGAATGTTGGTATGATGTGAATTGTAAAAAGCCAAGAAAGAGAAGCATGTAAAACATTTGACAGAGTTGATATGACAAGATCAACTTGTCTGTGTGTGTGCATGTGCATTCTTATAAGCCTGTTCTGATTGAACGGGGTGCAATATTACTGGGACACTTAATTTGCTAAAATGCAAGAGCAAACTCATCTTTTGCTCTTTACTAGTTCTATCAAAATACTTCTATATGTTAAACCCAATCACATAGTAGATAGTACTTCAGAAAAGGTTTGTTCTCTTAATGTTTACCTTGCTACAAATATACTTGTATTAGGATACTATTAATTATTTTTATATTTTCATGACTGGTTTTAGCCAATTAGTAGAGCTGTTTACAAATGTTCTTCATACTTTGTTGTTCTAATATTAGTCATGGATTGGACAAACTGGCTTAATGAGACATCTTTAAAGCTAGTATTGCTTTGAACCGTGTGATTTTGCCATCTCAGGGATTGTCTTACTTCAGTCTCAGAAAGAACACTAGTCAATGCCTGAGACTGTTCCAAAGCAGGATTATGTAAACTAAAAGTGCAGATAAGCATTGACGACAAGAATATATGCAGGAAAAACTCAGTCCATTTTCTCAGTGTTTACTTTTGTCTTACGCAAGTCTTCCTTTTTAAGGCAGTCTTTTGTCCCATTTGTAATCCCAAAGGTGCAATTTCTGCCCCGCCAAGGAATGTAAATCCTCGGTAGGAAAGACTTGAGAATGAAACATAGCATTGTAAAGGGAGTTGGATAACACTGTTTAGTTCTGTGATCAGTCTTCATGAAAACTGATGTCTATTTAAGTATTAGGTGCTTTTCAAATTCCTCCCAGGAAAAAGGTCATAATGTGTTTATTTCTAAAGAAACAACATTCGTCCACACTCAAGCTCAGGTGCATGAATCCAGAAGCCTGAGCTTTGTTTTGCAACAGTCAAGTCACCATTGAATATAATTTGAACTTGAGCAAAAAGGTCTGTGCATGAACTCCAAGGCCCAGAAGCAACTCTAGCTCCTAAGTGCGTATAACTGCATAGTCGGGTTTGTGGAATGTAACTATCTAGACACAGGGTCACCGAGATGTAGCATTTCCAACAAGCCCTCCCAGTTTCTGGAACGTGATTTTAGATTTCTAAAATGTGTCTATCCCTAGTCATTCAGGGAACACATGCTCTGTCGTAGCCTATAATCTTAATCCCCCATTTTGAGAATCATTGAGAATCCCACCACTGTCCTTGCAGTGATTTAAAAACACAAAGTGTGTTTAATCGTCTGAGGGAGACATGTAAAAAGCCAAAGAGGCTGAGAATGAAGCAGACTAAATGAATGATTCAGTGGAACATGTAAGGTCAAATTTTGTAATTTTGAAGCCATAGTCTACTACTACTTATAAACATGCTTTACTAAACAAATACCAGGCAATTTTAAAAAGGCCTATATTATGCGTTCAGTCATAATTTGAGGATATTTGGTTGCACAAACTTTATGTTGTGAGATACAGCAAACAGATAACATAATTTGTATTTCTTAAGCTCAGATTTCTTCACAGACTCAAGAGAAGACATTTCACTGGTTTCCTGTTGTGTTCCACTAGTGCTCTGGATGTTTTTCATCTCATATTAGTTCTGCTGTTTATATGTCTGCCTTATAGTTGTTGCATCTTTACTGGTCTTAGGTATCCAGAAAAAGATTGCTTATGAGTGATGTGACCCTGATTAAACAACTTAATTCAAAAGTGACACATATGCTGTGGTGTCACATGTGTCACTTTTGGTGGTGTTTTCTTCCTGTCAGGTCTTCTCCTATATTGAATGAAGCTTGTTCAAATTACTGTCATGAAGGCCAAAGCCATAGTCTTTCATATAATATATTACCAAATCTCCAAACTACACAGTGTCAGGCCAGATCAGTAATTGAAGGGAAAAAACCTTGGAATGAGGAATTCAGTAGCTAGTGTGCCTACATCTGAATCTGCAGACAGCATATCCGTACCTTTTGACAGTGGACACTCACCCATTGCTGTATTTAATTAAAACATTTAACAGTTATGTTAGAACCCATAAGATTTCAAAGTTGTCATTAAGGTTCAAAAAATACAAATGCAAAAAATAATATGCAAAATTATATCTTTCAATGAAAAGGGATCAGGAGCTTTTTGAACAAATGCAACCATTACCCCTGAAATTTTAGCCAAACTCCAGACAATTTCAGTGAACCAAGTTTAGGTTCTGAATATTTGTATTTTCTCTGCTAATGTAATGAAAAAAGCATTTTAAATTTCCCAAGGTTTTTCTATGTTTCTGTTACATCAACTCTCTAAAGCACTAGAATTTAGGTTTTTTAAGTTTTATTTCATTGACTGAAGATGTCACTAATGGAACACAGAGCTGTCATACAAAATTAGAAACAAATCAGACAATCTACGTAGGTCACAGAATATTTGATCATCTGTGCTACTCTAGGTGTTAATATTAATTTCCCCAATTTTTGCGAATTAGAAATTTCACTCTTAACTTCTAAAAACTGTTTAGAAATCTGAAAAGAGAAGATGAAAGAAGTAAATTAAGACATTTCAAATGGCAAAGAGCACAGAGCAGGTCCACTAAGTCACATCATCTTCTCAGATACATTAGTGCAACTAAGTGTAAAAAAATTAATTGGTGTAATATGCCTATATCATATAGACATGTAGCACCGTAAGTGACATATAAAATTTTATTTACTCCATAGCTTAATAATTTGGAATATTTACCTTCTAAAAGACTATGTAATAACTGTCATTAACTTGCACTTCAGTTGCCAGACTGTGATGTGCCTTTGGATATTAAAATTCTTTTTCCCGGTTATGCTAGTTAATGAATACTTCTTTTGCAGACATATCCTTACATCTTCTTATCTGACTAGTATAAATACACTTTTCTAGAAGAATGCCAAACAGGCAAGTTTTTAAAGGCTTATGTTGGGGATATTTGTTTGCAGAAATTAACCTTTTTAGATAGAGAAAATGGATAACTTGAGAAACAGCTTAATGAGCTTACTTGTAGCCAAGCTGTCGACAGACCACAGCTGCATCCTTATCAGACCATCCATCATCACAAATCGTGCCCCACTGGCTGTTGATAAAAATCTCTACACGTCCTTCCTTCTTATTCTCACCATCCATCAACCTGATGGGGGGACCTGGAAAAATTACTGCTGTCAACTTGGAACAACAAAAGCAAGAACTAGTACTGTAAGTAATTTTCATCATGTTCAGTGTACAGGATCAAACGATGTTTATGTTTGACAAGTCTAATACCAGGTGTAACAGTAATCATATTTTTTCTGGCTGGCAGAAGAAAGCAGTTTGTACAAATTGCAAGACAAATACAAAATAATGCTCTATTTTGAACTTCATAGTTCGTCTGGTTCCTTTGTTCTGTACAAATAGGTGACATGGCTCAGAATTTGACCACCATGGGCACAGAACAATTCTCCCACTAAAGGCAGCAAACACCCATTATATCTGTGATCTGATGCCTGTATGAACTGGACAGGCTTTCCTTGCAGGAACTTTATGGGTGAATTTAACTGTATCTCAGTTCATAAATGCATTCTCAAACTGGTTGCCACCACTTGCCTTAACACCTATCTCAGTAAAAAAGGCATTGTGTTGAACTGAAGTTATTACTTACCATCACACATGCTGTTCTACAGCATCTTTTGCATGATAGCATCATGTTCTACAGCATGTTATTCTAGCCTAATACGTGATTATTTGTCTATCAGTTGAAATTGATTGCTTATTCAGATATGTTCATGATACAAAATTCCACTAATGTGGATTAGTCAGACATTTGTTCAGTGCTTGGCCTGTAGTGAAATTTTGAATCATTGGGCAAAGTATAAACTGGATTCTCTCTTGCTTTAAAATTCCTTCACAGCAGGCAAGCAATGCAAGTAGCCTTAAAACAAACAGCTATGAATTCCTTTGAGGCCTTTTTATAATATTTAAGTGAGAATCACCTTCTAAATCTTCTAATATGTCATACTTTATAATCCTTAGTACACTAATGAGGGTTTCTTTTCAGAATAATTGGAAAGACTGTTCCTCATTCTTCTAACCTGTTTCTAATCTTTTCTAAATCAGTCAGGATGAGAAATTACTTAACTATGATTTTAAATAAAGCGGTATTTTGAGACATTTGCATTTGCTATTTAATTCAGATTAATATAGGGTATGAGTAACTTTTGTATACCAAACCTTATTCTGGATCAGAGGTAGTTAAATCTGGCCTAATTAATTAATTAAAAAGGGAAAGATTTGAAAACAAAATTAAAGTCTCTTTGCTTTAAATGTTATTTAAAGCATGTTGTTTATACTGGAGTTCATACTGTCAGGATATTTACATGAATTAACTTCAACAACTTTGTTTAGCTACATTGTTATGATCTTACATACTAAACAAGTGTTGTAGATATTGTAGTGTGTTCTATTTCACTTTTCCTTAATGTCTGTATTTCCTCAGGTCATCCCTAGATGGCTTTTTCAAATGCTGGGAAGTAAACGGTAACAATAGTCTTTGTCCACTTTCCAATTGGAAGTCTTGTAGGAAATGTTAGATATACTGTCTTCATTTTGTTGAAATTATGTGTTACTCTGGAACAAGATGATTACCCAGCTAGAGGCATATAAACTTATGATCATGAAATTAATAAAACTTTCTGGTAATGGGGGATGTGTGTGAGAATGTTAACATGTGGATGCATTTAACTTAACCAGACCTCCTTCAGATAAGGTTATCCTTTTTAGGAATTTGAGCAAAGCAGCACAGATGGTTTGCGTTTGTAAAGACAACAGTCGTTATTCAAATTCCTGTTATATTTGGTCTGAGAAAATTCTGTCTACCAAATATGATTTGACATCATCTACACATAACGGAACTGTACCGCAACATAAAACATTCATTGGATTGTGACAGGTCAAAAGGTTATAAAGAAAAAGACTATAAAGAGGGGAAAACCAGAAAAGTACATGCAGAAGTGCTGATTGTTGTTACAACAGGTGGCAATGTCTTGCAGTGAATCCATGTAGTTTGCAGGATAGACCTTCAGTCTGTAATTTCCAGAGAACTTCAGGCACCCAGGCATACAAATCTATTGCATTTCAATAGAAGCTGTGGCTCTAACTCCACTAGTTATTCTGAATTCAACATCGACTAAAATGTACTCGGATAAACTGAAGAATATCAGCAATGATTTTGTAAAAGGCTACCTGCTGACAAGCTACAAACTTTGCAGGTAGTAAATTTTAAAAAAGAAACTTCTTAGAATTTCCTGTAATTTGTACTGTGCATATCTGATAGCCAGAATCCTTGTTTAATTATTGCATGTGGATTTGGGAATCTTTGCCCTTCGTTTGCAGATATTTTGTTCTACAATACCACTATATAATTAGCCCATTCACCCAAGCACAATATAAATGATAGGCAGTACTCAAACAGAAATAATTTCATGCTTCTCACCCTTCCTTCTTGCTCTGAATTTACCCTTTCTCCATACCTCTTTTTTTGGATTACTTAAATGTAAGGCAGATATACTACTGATGTATATTCTTCAGTGCTAGTGTATGTCTCCAACTTTTGATAGCATGAGAGAGTTATTTGGTACTTGAAGAGTGCTGAGTCAAATGAGGTGTACCATTCAGAAGTGCCGAATAGGTCTAAAATCTAGTAAATACTGAAATCTCTGGAACCTGACTTTGTTGGCTTGCAAATTTGTGTTCATCTTCAATGTTCTGGCTGTCTATGGTCCTTTAAACAAAGCTTGATTACTTCCTTCAGGAGAAAAGTGAGCTTTTTTTACCTTCCGTTCTTTACACATGTCTGCCAAATATTAACTTTGAGTATTCTTAAGTGTACTATACTTTGCTCAGGTCTGCACCCCCCACAATACCTATGCTGTGACTTTAACAAAGAGGCGCCTTACCGAGTGTGAGCTTATGGTTGTCATTATCTGGATAGCAAATAAGTCTGATGTCCTCCTGATGGTTGCAGTCATGTTTTCCCCACTCTCTCCATGAGCATTGCAGGAGGTTTGTCTCCTTCCCTGAGCAGCTGACATCATCTAACCAGATGGGCCCAGAACTTTCTTCTGAGTAGCGCTCTGGGACACTTCTTCCATACCTGCTTAACATAGGTAACGTTTTGGTCCACAGTGACCGGACAACAAGTCATACTTAAGCACTAGAAAGAAAATAAATTATTTCTGAAGAAATAAAGGTTTCTCAAGTAGTACCAGTAAACAGTGTTAACTGTGACAGAATAGGTTCAGTCAGCATTAAATTCTGTGAGAGCACCATGCTGCTGCTTCAGTGTTGCTTTTTTTAAGAAATTACCATTACATTAATACAAATTTGAGATCGTAATACCTTTGATTAAGGCCTTTCAACCAAGCATATGGCTGACTCACTGACTTTTCAGACTTAAAGCATGTTCTTAGTATTAAATATACATTTGAATGCCACAGTCTGAGAAAAATGAGACAAAATTCTTCTTTTGAATGTGAGCTGTTACAATCTGAAGGCAAGACAACAATCATCTAGCAGGAGTATATCTTTGTAGCCACAGCCAGTAGGAAAAGTAGTGAAGAATGAATGCATGAAACTCTAACAGGATTTTTTCTAAAATATGCTTTTCGATACATAGCAGTGTTCCATGGCCAGACTGTGGGGTTTTCTGTGCTAGTTCCAGAAGGAGTTACACCTTGAAAATGTCCGTGATTTGTAATTGCTGTTCAACAAGCAAAGATTTTTGAGAATCAAGTTTTTACAGGCAAAATAGAACAAATCAGTTTTTCTCTGTAACATATACATTGATCTCAGCCAAAAAGATGATTGGAAGGAGATCAGTGAATAAAGGCTGCTGAATCAGAGCCTCAGTTGAACCTTTTTCTTCTACCTAAACTGAGGCCATAAATGTCTCTTTGAGGCTGAGGGAAGCAGGCTTTAAGGGATTTTGAATCAGTAGTTTCTATGAAGCACTTAGCTAACGTTAAGGAAACAGACTCTTGTATAATGTAGGGTTCACCTAAATGTTTGTCATCATTGTCAAGTCAGAGTCATATATCTAGTATCAAGTAATCTTACTTAAATCCCAGCTGCCGGCAAACCACTTGTGTATTCAGCTCTGTCCACCCATCATCGCAGATTGTGCCCCACTGTCCAGTATAATAGACCTCCAGGCGTCCCTCATGACTGCCTTTCCCACTTGCTAGTCTTAATGCACCATCTGTGTCATTAACAATTAGGGAAAAACAAAAACAAAACTCAGTTTTTCTTGGGTCTAGTTATTTTTCTAAACCAAAGTTAATAACATTGTGTTTACTGCATTGGATCAGAATATTAGACTACTACATCTAGTGCTGATCACTAGGTGTCATTTAATGACAAGATGAATGACATGCCATAAAGCCAGTCACCTGTGAAGTATTGCATAATGCAGTTGCTCAATTGCAAGAGATACGAGATACTGATTCTCCTAACATTACATGCCAAGTCCACAGGAATGGGCTTTCATGATGTGATTTTGCTTTGTACACACCTTATCTTTTTCTTTGTATATTCTGTTATTTCCTGTTGCTTTTATGCTGAAATACTAACGGCCGTTGGCAGATGTGATACACAGTTAAGGCATGCCTCACAGAGTAAGTGGCAGTTAGTGTATTACTGAGGAACCAAGGCTTTATGTTGATAATGAGGGGTTTTGTACTGTAAAATATCAGTAGCCAGAATTTCCATAGTTGATTCGTTTTGATACTGCCAGCACACTTGATTACTGTGGGAGTCTATACCTCTGCAAACTTTTAAAATTCTCTTTCCAGAGCTGTGAACTCTGCATTTGTCACTGTTTTCCTGTGTGATTATTGGTAATTGAAGTACCTGTGAGAGGTGTGCAGGAAACGCCAGCGTCTTCTTTGTGGCCACAGTTGTGTTCTCGCCAGGCGTTTTTAGGACACTGCTCTATGGATAGTTCATTTCCTGTGCACTGAACTTCATCCAGCAACAGGGGGCCTGAGCCTTCTCCAAAGTAAGCCTGGCTCCATGCCTTGGCAACACCCCTGTCAAAATGTAACAAACGGTCAAGAACAAGAAAGCTGAAGAGCTGGGACTCAGCAGAAAGAGCTAAAATGTTACAAATCCCACTTGTAAAATAGCAACGGGGCTGCCTGAATACTGTATTTCAGGGAACTTGACACTGTCATACCACCTGGCAGTGTTTGCAACAAGAACAGAAAGCAGAGCAGTGGCCAGCCTTGTGTGTGTTACACAATTTATGTCAGCATAGAGGATTTTGCACACAAAACCCTGTGTAAATTGAAAATGCTCCATTGTTTCAGCATTACAGAAATTACACAGTGTTTAAGACTTGATGATCTATCAGGATATTTCCATGGGATACCATGTCTTTCATTTACATGTGTAAATGTTTTTTCACATGGTTTGTTTTCTTTCCACTCAAGTTTCTCTGTTCACATACCCAGACTAGTTTTTATAGAAGTATTCTCAGTATCTGTTGTCTTTTTCAACTTGTAAGATTGAAATGTCTACCTATTTTTTTTTTACTATAGTGAATTACCTATCTAAAGGGTTAGTTTAATTAACATACGGTGTGAGTACATGGCTCTGTACTAACTCATTTCCTTTAAAGAGAGTTTTCCACTACCAGCCGTATATTGTCTTGTAACACCTAACAGGAATGGTGTGTTCAGCTTATATTGAAAGCATGACAGGTATTGACTATTTTGTTTTGAGGTGCGATCATTCAAACTCTTTAACTGGCTTTTGCAGCTGTATGTCAGAGTAGTACACTGCTGTCAATTATTTTGTTTTAACTGTAAATTGGAGGTGTTCAAGTTTTTAAGGCACTGACTCATTAATCCATGTATGGATTTAGATAGATGTGAATTTCATTTCTAGTGCTTTGTGTAAATATGTAACAATTTCTATTCTCGCTCTTCTTTTTTCTTTTTTTTTTAAAGGAAAACAGTACTAAATTTACAGTTAGCAATCATGCAAATTCTTGATAAAGAGTAAACGGGTATGGTAAAAATAACAGAAATAAGAACCTTATGAAAATTAAATTAGGATCAGAAAAAAGTTCTATAAAAAGGAAGGTTGTGGAAATTTATGGTAGAAACTGTACAGATGATGATAGTGTTCAGTAAATAAAAGCACACAAGAAAGGTAGATAAAATAATCTGTGCTTTGTATTTTCTTTTTTTTTAATCAATTTGGGTTTAATATTTTCAAGCTCTTATGCTTAATCTTGAAAATGTACTGTTATTTTTCAGACTCTTCCTTTGATAATCAGATGCCCTCTTCAAATGATAGAGAACTTGGAAAACACCAGACAGGAGGTCATCTTAATCAGTGGAGAGAAGCGTTACAGTCTCCAATTGCTTCAGAGAAGCAGGTAAGCAAACCAAAATGTCCTCCAA